TATATATATATATATATATAATTTATTATAAATTTTAATTATATATAATAAATATTTAGTCGATACATTATATATACTAAGGTATTAGTACTTATATATATATATATTTTTTTAATATAAGAGTAGAATATGATTATTATTGTTATTATTATTATTATAATATTTAGTGTTAGAATTTTTTTATTACATTAATGTGTTCAGTGAGCAGGCATGTTTATTTTATTAAATGAATGATTGTATAAATTTATTTTATTTTATTGAAAGTGGTATACTTATTTTGAAAACACAATATTGAAGTTTAAATATAAAATAATGAAAGACATGTTTTTACTCTTTTAAATTTAGAGTAAACGTATTTTTGTTTCTTAAATTTAAATTTATTATTTTTAGTTTCTATAATTTTAAAAAAATTTGTTTTAATTTCTTATGTCATTAATAACATATTTAAAATTATAAATTGAAATAAGTATTAATTGAATCTGTGATATTTTTACTAATAGAAATATTAATAGGTAGATTTTGTGACAACATTTAACAAATTTTTTAACAAGATTTGTATTTAAGGACTAAAATAATATTTTTTTTTTAAATTATGCAGACAATTAAAGAAATTAATTTTAAATTTAAGTCATATTGTAATATATTAGAGATGATTGGCCGGGGAATAGAGCTTCAGCACCTTGTATTTTGAAAATTCCAAAATTTGATATTTTTAAGTCAATCAACTAAACATCAATATGAATACTATTAGTTTAGTAGAATTTTTCTGCTAGTTTTTAACCATTAAAAAATGACAATTTTCAGCCACTCAATTAAAAAATATATTTTTAAACTTTTATGGATCTGGAATTACTAATTTAACCTTTTAAAAACTCACCAGCTATTTTGTTTTTTTTTTTTAATAAAAAGGTTAGATTAGTTGATAATGATAAGACACAATTTTATATAATTTCAAAATTTGTTAGAGATACAAATAAAGTCTCACATCGTTAAATCATAAGGAGAAATAAGGATTTACAAAATACATGTAGTCTCTATTAATATGAGATTTTTTATGAGATGATCAAAAGTAAAATTATGAAAATTTAAATTCAAAGTGAACAATATCATATTAATATGGAGACATGTGTTTGTAAACTCTAAGTGTCCAACAATTGTATCAAAGTTGATGGTTTCAACTAAGTGATTAACTCAAAGTCTCAAACGAGTATTTGATAATAGAAAGCGATTGATCCATGCATGAAATTCTATGTCGAAAGTCATTTTAGTGGTGTGGAGGTCAAATCCTTCTTAGTAGTATGAAGATTATGTGACATGTCTCATTAATGTGAACTAAGGCCAATGTAAATATTTAAAGCTAATAGGTGGTGTGACTAAAATTTTAAAGATCATCATTGAATATTCGTGAATGGAAAAAGATTTTCGTTAAAGAAAAGGTTAAACTAAACAATGATCATTTGTTTGATGACAGAATTGTTGATATACAAATAAAGTCTTACATTATTAGACAATGAAAATAAACAAAGATTTATAAACCATATATAATCTACATTAGTATGAGATTTTTTTAGAAATAATAAAAACAAAAAAATATGAAAGTTTAGACCTATTATTCTTTAAATTTTTTAATAAAATTACGAATTACTTATTCTATCTCTAATAAATATGGATATACGTAAAATGATATATATTTTTCATGCCCCAAAATATGTGAAATGTAGTATTGTTAATGTACGATGTCAGCAACAGCTATTCGTTGCGTGAGTTCTTTCTCATTCGTTTTCTGTCTTAATTCCGTAACACCATTTTCTATTTGAGACTATGAATCAAATGTGATCTATGGTGCTTATATAATACGGGATGGAAGTGTAGAACTTTATGATAAGATTTAAAATGTAATGGTGTAGGTCATGTGAGATAACGTTTCTAAGGTTGAGATTGGCACACTTTTTATTATCTCACCCAAAGTGTATTGTCACTACGTGAATGAGAGAGATCACTCTTTTCTACACCCCCTTTTGTCTTCACTTCTTGAAATCACATCATGGGACCCTCACAAAATTGGACCAGCATTTTATTTTCTTTTTTGTGTTCATTAATTGAGATTTGTACAAGGTTTGATTGATTTGCATTTATGGTGCTGGTTCTTGTTTCCATTGTTTTTTATAATGGCAATGACAAAGTTAAAATCTACGACATTAAGTATATATTCTTTAAAATCCATCACCATTCAGCCGATCTTAGCAAGTGTTATAGTTTTCATATTTTTCAGAATTTTAGCTTTTAAATTAGAAAATAATTTAAGTACAATATTATAAATATTTTAACCAAAAACATGTATACAATTTTTACATCACTAAGTCAAAAACAAATAAATTAGCGAGAGGTTGTTTTAATTTAACCAACCATTTCATGTTTATATACAAATATGTTAATGATTATAAGTAGTTTCTACTCATTGAAAAAATTATTATAATTGTGATTGTAATTTGTGATTGCAATTATAGTTAAGAATGTAAGTGAATTAAGTTGGGTTATATTTGATTTAATTTATAATCTAATCCAATAAAATATAATCGGGTTGAACTGGATAATTGAGTGAATTTTTTTTTTTATCAATTAAAATTACAATAATAACAACATGTTTTGAACTCTAGGATCATATACATATTACTCGATCGTTTGTCATTAAACTCATCCAATAGTTTTAATCGAGTCAATTTATTAAAATATTAGTATACCTTAAATTTTTTTAAAAATATATATTAAAAATCTAAAAGAAAATATAAAATTTTATAAAATACTAATATAAATTGAGGATGATTGGTTTACTCTAACAGTAAATCTACTTAGATTTACTTCATCAATTATTTATGTTCTACATTAAATTTTAATGATCCAACCTTTGAATTTAAATTTTTTAATACATAAATTAAGTTCACAAATTTTTAAAAAAATTTAAAATTATTTAATACTTCATTTCATTAATTTAAATTGACATATAATTTATAAATTTAATTTATACATTAAAAACTTTAAATTCAATGGATCGTTAAAAATTTAATATAAGACATAAATTATTAAATAAGATAAATTTAACTAAAATTGCTTATAGAATTCTTATATAAATTTATATGGTTAAAATATATATCCTAATCAACACTAAATTAAGAATCAGACCCTGATTCTTACTTCAGAAAGATAAGTACTAAATCACCTTTATCAACGATTTTTGTTTATTATAAGCAAATATTAGTATATATAAAGTTTTTTTTTTTTTTTTTACCACCGGTATATATACAGTTGGAACATTTAACTCGCAATTGAAAGGATGGAACATTTTGAGTAACATAGTTAAAGTACTTTTCTAAACCTTTGTTCACTTTCCAGTCTCTATCAATACCACAATTCATAATTACCCGTGAATATTACAACATGCATCTCTATCATCAATTACAACGACAAAGACCACGAAATTCATAGAGCATTGTACTGAAGCTCATGTTAACTTATCCTCAATGCAATTATCAATGGCCATGGTTCAAGCCACTTTCTTTACACAACAACTTCTTCATATCTCTTTCTCTATCTCTATGTGCCCTTTTGCATGCAAAGGCTCTCTTCACTCTCTTCAAACACTTTCTCCACAATAACAAGATGTCACTCTTACACACATAAGTGGCATCCATATTCCTATTGTGTCCTAAAATGGGTCTGCTCAGAGCCCCACTTGTTTGTGTGCTCTGTTGGGTTTTATCAATGCTGTGTTGTTCCATTATCAAATGTGATGGTTCTGATGTTTATTATATGAAGTTCTTGAAGGCCCCCCATGCATTCTCTCACTCTAAGTCAGCAACATTTGCTTTTGAAGCTCTTAACTCTGGTAATGGGGGCCCTTGCTCAAACTGCACCCTCAGTTGCAAGGTTTGTGTGTGTGCGCGCAAATTTGGCAATTAAAGAATCATTTTTTAATGTTAAAGAAATGATTAATGTCAAAGAAACTGCACATGTTTTTATGCAAGACATGGAAATTGAAACTTCTTAAGAAATTAAATCACAAAATTTATCAAATTCTAGATTAGTGGAGCTCTTTGTGTGTGTGGTTGGGGGGAGTAATTATTGTATGGTCCACTAGCACTACGTGTCCATGATCTCAATCAATTTCTATATAACCGAGTTTTATTAACTCTTTCTTGTAAATTGAAAAACTCGATAATATATCATGTAGAGATTGGCAAGTACTAAAGACATTCACCATATAGATTATCATGTTGTAGTTGACTACTCTGTTATGTTTGTCTGTAGCACTAGGACCAAAATGTTGGTTCATAGTGTTAATTTTGTTCTTTATTCTTTTCATTTGCCTTATTTTTGGAAAGGGTGTTAGAAGCTATTCTGATTGTTCTAAAAATACCATGTACTCAGCTGGATGATGCGATCACATCAGTGTGTACAAATGGAAAAGTTACATACAGAAGCTTGAGGGATGGAAATCATACTTTTGAAGTCTGCAGCAGACATCAAGGACTTGGCTGTGCCACCTATAACTGGACTGTTGGTTAAGAAACCATACTTAATTCCTTATACTTTTTATCAGTTAATTATCACTTATGCGATTTGGCCCCTTTAATTGCTGATGTGTTGTTAATGTATTATGTCATGTGCCTTTGGAATGAAAAAAGTTAGTCCAGAGTCTTTTGACTATATAATGTAGCATAAAATAGGAGAACAATAATGTTTCAAGCTAAACATTTATGCCACAAATGTAACATGTAAATTCTCTTTTCCCTTTTTGAGTTAGATAACAAAAGCATCTCAATGCTTAACCAGGATTTGCTTGCATCTTTGTCACATGGGAAAACAAGTTTACAAAGTCGTGGAAAAGAGGGAAAGTCGATATATATCTTGAACTTTCTGTCAGACTGAATTGAGATTCATATAAATTTGTTCTTCATTGAATACCATTTTAATATATCACAGAATTATTTTTTTCAGATACAATTCCTCCAACGGCATATGTCACCGCCTCAACATCTTTTACAAGTTCTTTAAATGTGTCTGTAAACATATCTTTTACGGAACCCTGCATAGGTGGAGGAGGCTTTGGATGCAAGTCTGTGAATGCCTGCAATGTAAGTAGGTGGCAAACCAAGATCGCTTAGATTTCTCAAATTATGATGTCTTTTTTACTACGTAGTCTAACTTACATATACATTCGTAGAGGTATTGTGAAATTGCACGCACACCCTCTTTCTTTTCTTTTTTTTATCCCTACATTGATCCCCTTAATTGTTTAAGAAGCACTACACCGATACTTTTTAGACATTACCTTAATATCTCTTAATTGTTTGTAAAACATTATACTGCAACTCTTATAAGAGATGATACTGTAAACATTAAAAAGGCAAGAGAGTTGTGTCCAATTTCACAAAATCTTATAGGAAGCCAGTGTAGGTTATGGAAAATACAAATCCCATATTATATATATCAAGGACCAATAAAAATAAGGTGGGAATGGTTCTTGAAGAAATAGATTTGTGTTAATACAATATTGAATCAGTTTTTAACATACTGTGGTTATATTTCTCTACAGCTTCTTGTCTATGGTGCTGGCCAGGTCATACCATCTTCCTTTAGAATTTTAGAGACAAACCTCACATATTCTCTCCTTGTTAGTCTGTCCCCTACAGTACAATATGGCCGCGCAATCCTTGTTATGGACAAGAACTTCTGCACTGACCTTGCTGGCAACAGCTTTATGAGAATGCCAAATTCAAGTGTTTATATACACATTGGTGAGTGTATGTTTTAGTATATCATATTGGTAGATATCTTTAGCAATGTCTGATGTATCATTTGTGTGATTACTTTATGGATAAAAGTCCAAGTGCATGTGGTGTCTGATATATCAGAAGATTTTTGTGCATCTAAACATAAGTAAACTTTGCTAAAGAACAAATTCTATATCAGTTTCTAATGTTCAAAACTTGATTATTTTTTTCCTATGGGAGTGTGATCCACAGATAGAAGAAAGGTTTATGTCAACATCAGGAGTCGTGTACCAGAAAAGCTACTTCAACTCAACAGTGAAACTAGAACAGTACAGGCAACTAATGACTATGACAGGCTAAAGATATATTTGTACTTCTCAGCTCCAGTGCTGAATTCATCTACAGAAATTTTGAAATCTCTCAACATTAGTCAGGGTTCACTTCTTCCAACTAATGCAAAAAGTCTTGCAAATCGGAGATTTGGATTCATGGTTAGTTGATTCAAGGATATTATCAATTATAGGATTAAATATGTTTATAGTCTTTAACCTTTTGTCAATTTTTACTTTTAGTTCCTAAACAAATTTTATTTAGTTTTAGTTCCTAAAATTTTCTTCCATGAATAAAAGATTTTGATGTCATGACAAAAAATGTCAATGGGAGGAAAAGTTCTGAAACTAAAAGTGAAAATTGACGAAAAGTTTAAATTTTTAAAACGTATTTAATCCTAAGTTTCAAATGTATATAACTTATGCTTATTCTAAGTGTATCCCCTCTACTTAACGTTTTTTTGGCCAATTCTTATTTCAGATTGCTAATATCTCCTCTACAGCTGTAATATCGGTTGACTTCAATTCAGAGTCTATAATGACCAGACAAGGGACTCAAGTTTCTCCAATTGCACCAGTTACTTTCCTTTATGGTATATGTTATCCACCAACCACCAAGAAAGCACTATTTAGATTTATATGATAATATTAATATATATTTTCTTTTCTACACCTTTGTCTTGGGAATCTTGAGATACCAATGCTCTTTGCTAACACTGTCATGTATGGGATTCAGATACTAAGAGGCCTGCAGTGATGTTGAGTACATATAGCATGAGGACAAAAGAACACACTTTCCAGATATTGATTAAATTTGTGAAGCCTGTTTTTGGCTTCAACTCCTCTTGCATATCAATTTCTGGGGGTTTACTAAAAAGGTAAATATTTTGTAGATGTTCATCTTCTGAGATATTATGAAACCACAGTAGTGATACAATGTCTGTTTGTAAATATCAATCTTTCTCTACATGCATCATTTAAAGATGATCACTGACATTGAATTCCGAGAAAGCCAATGCCAATTGACACTCAATCTTTTCTCTTGCAACTTTTGTTTTCTGTCTAGTTTCCATACATTAAGAAGGAGCACATACATTGTTGAGTTACAAGCAGATGATGATCTAGTATTTGTAAGTGTTCCCGAGAATGTAACACAAGATGTTGCTGGAAACAAAAATCTAGCTTCCAATTTTCTACAAGTGAGACACTGTAAGATTTTCTTCTTTTTCTATTTATTTATATTTTTGATGATTATATTGTGTTGTTAGTAGTGCTGATATTATATTTTGTCTGTCTGATGCTCAATCCTCTTGTATATGATTATATTGTTTTCCCTTTTCATTTATGGGATACATGTTTTTAAAAAAAATCATCCATTATTATCAACATATTTATGATTTCACAATCATGCAGACTCTATGCCCCTGGTTTCTTCTGTGGTTTCTGCATTTGCAACTGCTTCTTTTGTGCTGACATCAATTGCTGCCGGTTTTCTTACCATCTCAACTGCAAGCCTTCAATCTATTGGTACATTTATGAGATCATCATCTTTCTTGGTCGTTGATCCAGCAAGGAATCTTCTTGTGAGACACCTAACTTGAATCCTGCTTACCAAATACCACCTCATAAATCTGAGTGCAATTTACACATGCTTGTGTATTGAGTTGTTGTTTAAATGGAGAAAAGGAGTAACATAATTTATAGAATATTTTGGTGGAGGAAGTCTCAAGCATCATGCTTGATAAAGTATCAAACGGAGGGAGATAGATTTATTCTATTTCATCTGGAGTTGCATAATAACTCATTGCATTCACTGTAGCCCTTGTCAAAAAAAAAAAAAAAAGATCATAGATTATAGTCAAATATTTTTTACATTCATATCTTAACAGTTAACATAGATCGTAGAGACTAGTGTTTATTCTTCCTTCATAAAGAATGTACATATCTTAACTGGATGTGAAATTCTTTTCTTTTAGCATCTTGAACTTTTAGTTTTTTTCAACTTTGTAAAGTTTTATGCAAATTACCATAATTTCTTATATTTTTGTAGTGATTAAGGAGAGAATACCACATTGATAGGCCAATTTTGTTAATCATGCAGAGAATTTTGAGCCATATTCAGGTGTTTGCACTATCTAGATGGTTAGCAGTTAAGTTGCCAGTTGAGTTTTATGAATTTGCCAGACATTTACAATGGACCATACCCTATTTTCCTGTTCCATGGGAAGATGAACCCATGAACCCGTTCATGGTAGGATCTAGTCCTTTTTGGAGCTCTAAATCCATCACCAAAGCCTCAGCAACTATCCCAAACAAGTTGTTTGACAAGAGTTTGAATTTGGCTGCTTCAGTGTATGGATCACCACTTACTTCTTCAGAGTACCAGCAATACTTCGAGGTTAGAACAAGTTAACATCTCTATCAATAGTACAGAGTTAGTTAGTTTCATATCTATGTCGATGAAAAAAAAAATCAAAAATTCTTAATTTATAATGCACACTTGCAGGAAAAAAATATAAAACCGGAAGCTGAATATATTTTGGATTCACAACGATCCTCAGGGTAAGTTATATGTGTCGATGCATTGTGATATCAATCATATCATACTTAGGAAATTAGTGTTTTCATTTCTATATAGATAAAAAGGTTATAATTACGATACAAGGGGCACTAACAAATTACAAAACACTTTTTAACTCACTCTTTTCAAAACACTCTGTTGTTGGGTAACTTTAATGTTAGTCCTTCTAAATGGAGAGTGACCCAAGATTATTCAGTGGAACTCGCATGAAGTAATGGTGTTTTTGAGAAAAGTGTATCAAAGTATTTGTTGGTAGTATTTTTCATAGGATAAGAATACTAGAATACCAATATTTTACCACCTTTTGTATACCATTTTGTGTTTGCTAGTATTTTTCAATCTGCAATGTTAACTGAAAGTTGTCAAATTAGTATATTACGTTCTACTTGTCAACACTTGTTTTACTAACTTTCATAGAGTTGCTTTAAAAATTGGCTGACAGTATGTTTAAATAGAGTAAGCTAGATATTAAAAGTCTTTAAGTAAATTGAGTAGTGTGAACAGAAAGGCACTCCATGAGATAAATCAAGAATCACTCTGTTTTCTGATTATAATTAATTTACTAATCCAAGTTTTTGAAGTTCAAATGCTTCAACAATTTTTGCTGACTTATAATCTACTATCATTTTTTTTATAGATGGACAGAATTTTCTAGGAGCATGTTTTGGTTAGCTGTAATCTGTGGTGGTTTAATGGTTCTGCATGCTTTTCTCCTCATTGTCCTGAAATTTGGGAAGAGAAATTCTGAGAAGCATAGAATACACGGAGCACTCACATTCCCAAGATTTGAGATATTTCTTATATTTCTTGCACTACCTAATATTTGCAAGTCCTCTGCTGTCCTTATTCAAGGTAATCTTTTCTTAATGTTATCTGTCACCTACCCATTTATTATGAGCAAATATGACCTTAGGGGGGTCTAACTTGATTGCTCCCAAACCCAAAGACAATAATAATATTAATTTAATCCCTTCTAATTTGACTCTCCTGGTCTAAATATATAGTTCTTGGAAATATATTTATTTGTTTTATTGAAAGTTTTCTTCACAAGAAAAGATGTCTTTATGATCTCTATGGTATGGAAAGGACAACAGAAAATCTTAGAAAGATAACTGAACTACAATTAGATGATTTCTTTTACATGCTCTCAGTCTTTATTGCATGGTTACTTATTCATCTTCAGAAGTTCAAAACCTCTATAACACTATTATTGGCTTTAATTTTTCTCTTTTGCATGTATGACCTTAGGGGGATCTCCTTCAGGAATCGTAGTTGGCATTCTACTGTTGGTTTTTGTGTGCATTGTGCTTCTATCTTTGTTCATGTTTCTCTCTATTGGCATCACATTTGGAAAACTACTTCAGTACAAGGAAGTTCACCAAGAAGGTGAGACATTTCACTGGTACCAAGAGCTAGTGAGAGTAACTCTAGGGCCGGGAAAAAGAGGTCAATGGACATGGAAAGAACAACCAAAATCTGTGTATCTAACCATCTTTGGTCCACTCTTTGAAGACTTAAGAGGCCCTCCAAAGTACATGCTTTCACAGATATCTGGTAGCAATGGCAATCCTCAAAGTCAAAGAGAACGCATCATTGCCTCTGATGATGAAACAGAAGATGCAGAAGCACCCTTCATCCAAAAGCTGTTTGGAATTCTCAGGATATATTATGTGTTCCTTGAATCCATAAGGCGTGTCTCACTGGGAATTTTGGCAGGACTCTTTGTTCCATCTCAGTATTCTAGGAAACCAGTGATCATCATGCTGTCCATGACCTCTTTTCAGCTATTCTTCATGTTGCTAAAGAAGCCTTTCATAAAGAAAAGGGTTCAGTTGGTTGAGATTATCACTCTCACATGTGAAGTTACTCTATTTGTTACTTGTTTTGTTCTCTTGAAGGAGGACTTTTCTGTGAGAGGTGAGACCAGGTGTGGGGTTTTCATGCTTGTGGTGTTCCTAGTGGGGTATTGTGCACAGATTACTAATGAATGGTATGCTTTATATGTGCAAACAAAGATGCTAGACCCTGAGGAGAAATCACTCTTAACAGGTTTGAAAATTGCTTTCATTGGGTTTCTATTGTACTTCATCCCTCAAAAGTGCATCAAAGAAGACTTGGAAAAGATGTTACCACAAAATGGTAATGGGAAAGAAGAGGCTAGAGTCACTTCTTTGGGGGGTGAGAGATCAAGGGATTCAAGTAGTAGAAGCTCAGGTACACCTGATGGAGCATTTTTGAACAAACTAAGGGAATTTGCAAAGGGTAGCTTTGGAAGGGAAAGAAGTGGAGCTGTGAGTGATCCTTCTACTAGTGGCACTACTGGATGGACTGGATTATGGGGTAACAAAAGGAGTGGAGGCTCATCTTCTGATTACAAGACAAAATCAAGTTCATTGTACAAAGATTTGGAAGCCATTTTTGCTTCCAAGTGAAACCAAGTCATACAGAAAAATAGTTAGATTTGTATGTAATTTAAAACAGTTGGCAGCTTACTGTAATAAATCTATGTGGATTTGCCTTATGTTCATGTCATGCCACCTTATTTACTGTAATAAATATTAAACAGTCCCGAACATAATATTAAAGGATGTATTGGATTCAGATTTCGAAAAATAAATTTAACATGAAAAAGCCTCGTGAATTTTAATGGATTTTAAAACATTTTGTAGGAATGTCATGACTTTTAAGATTTTTTTTTTTAAAGACTTCAACTTGAATTTTAATTAAGACTTTGTAATTTAAATTTTAATAAATTTTAATAAATTTATATTATAAGATTATAAAGGATTTTATGAATTTCATTGGAAAACTTGGATTAGCAATATTAAATCCTAAACCTTAAATTTGCAATATTACAATATTTAATAAAAAAAAATACAACATAAATAATAAAGAAAAGTAAAATTAACACAATTTTTTATATCTTTTAACAAATAATTATTTTTATATTTTAATAAATAGTTGACTTTAATATTTTCTTAACTAGTAACATTTCTTTACATATGCTTGGTGCGAGCATGAAGAACAAGATTGTGAGCAAGGGCCACTGTACTTAAGTTGTCACAGAAAATGATTGGAGGTGAATGACGAACTTTAAGTTCAGAGAGCAAGGTTTGTATCCAAGTAACTTCAGCTGTGGCAAGAGCAAGGCTTCTATATTCTGCTTCAGTGCTGGAACGAGCAACAACAGGTTGCTTTTTGGACCACCAGGACACAAGATTTGTTCCAAGAAAGATAGAGGCTCCTGACGTAGATCTTCTATCATCAGGATCAGACGCCCAGTCTGCATCACAGTAGGCGTGAATGGATAAAGGGGAGTTGGATGGAGCTGGCTGCAAATGGAGACCCCAAGAGGTAGTACCCTTTAGATAGCGGAGAATATGTTTAACAGTTGACCAATGATGGGCAAGAGGATGAGACATGAATTGATAGACTTTGTTTACTGAGAAGCTAATCTCGGGTCGTGTTATGGTAGCATATTGTAATGCACCAACGATTGAACGGTAGAGAGACACGTCTAGAAAATCTTCAGTGCCAACTTTTGAAAGTTTGCAGCCACTAACCATTAGAGAGGAAAAAGGTTTTGAGGCTTCCATATCTGTGTGGTTTAAGAGATCCCGAATATATTTGCTTTGAGTGAGGATGAGAGAGCCATCAGATTGTGTTTTTACTTCAATGCCTAGAAAGTAATCAAGATCACCAAGATCTTTAAGGGAAAAGGTGGAGTGAAGTTGAGAAACAAGTGTATGAAGAAGTGTTGAATCATTGCTAGTGATGATAATGTCATCTACATATACCAAGATGTAGATGACACTATTGGCATGTGAGTAGACGAACAAGGATGGATCACACTTGCTTGCTTGAAAGTTAAACTGCAGTAGAGTTGATTTTAACTTTTCAAACCAAGCACGGGGTGCTTGTTTGAGTCCATAGATGGCTTTGTGCAGTTTACAGACAAGGTTTTTATCAGAAGCTTCAAATCCAGGGGGTTGAGTCATATATACTTCTTCATCAAGGGTGCCATTTAAAAAGGCATTATTGATGTCTAGTTGTTGAAGAGGCCAATGATGGGTTAAGGCAAGAGTAAGGATAAGGCGAATAGTGACAAGTTTGATGACAGGTGCGAAGGTTTCATTATAGTCAAATCCAAATTGTTGATTGAACCCCTTAGTCACAAGACGGGCTTTGTATTTTTGGACAGTGCCATCAGGATTTTCTTTGATACAAAAGACCCATTTACAGCCTATGGCTGTTCTGTGTGGGGGTAGATGAACTAGAGACCATGTGTCATTACTAAGTAGGGCGTTGTATTCTGTCTGCATTACAGCAGACCAAGTTGAATTGGATAAGGCTTGTTTGATTGTTTTGGGTTCAACATGGGTTAATAGAAGTGTGGGTTGAAGACGGGGTTTGACAATGCCATCTTTTGCTCTTGTTGTCATAGGGTGAACATTGCAAGGATGAATGAATGGTTGTGTAGCAGATTCAGGAACAGGTGAGGTGGGGACGGATAGATTGGTTGGAGAAGTACCCGTGGGAATGGCTTGAGAGGATCCAGATGACATATTTGGTGAGGTTGCAGGTGTGTAAGGCTCGGCTTCCATAGTGGGTGGCATTTGATTAGCGGGAATTGAGTTGGATTCGTGTGAGGGCATTGGTGAGGGGTAGGGTGCAGATGTTTGAGTGTGGGTCACAGTAAGAGAGAAAGGTTTGTATCCAAGTAACTTCAGCTGTGGCAAGAGCAAGGCTTCTATATTCTGCTTCAGTGCTGGAACGAGCAACAACAGGTTGCTTTTTGGACCACCAGGACACAAGATTTGTTCCAAGAAAGATAGAGGCTCCTAAAAAGTCCTTTAAAATCCTAATCCAATACACCCTCCTTATACTAATTCTTAATGCATTGACATATTCTCTTTTATGCACTTAGTCTGAAATATGTTTAAAATTATAGTCTTCATTAATTGATAATATTGAAGATGAAGATTCATCCGCTAATTCAATTAAAAATTCATTAGAACGATATCCTTTGTAAAAAAAAGTTATGTAGTGTTACATATTAATATAAGTTTAGCTTATATCTTAAACAGAAATGAAGATTTTGACTTAAAATTTGTGAAACATGATTGAAAAATATTAAATATCCTCTCAATCACATTTCTTAAGGATGCATGACGTAAATTAAAAATTTTATTTTCATTTTGAGGGTCATTATTATGACCTACAAAGTCTTTTTAATATATATTTCAAAATTTTATATTTCAATATTAAATTTTATTAAAAATAAATAGTTAAATTTTAATAATTTAAAAAAATTAACAATAGATAATATTTAATAATACAAAAATTATTTTAAATATTTAATAATTAAAAAATAAATATTGATAAATTATACATCAGTTTATATATAATGAAAAAAAAGACAGAGGAAGAAGAAAAGATAAATGAGAGATTGTAACGCCAAATTTATATAATATTAAACATAATATTAAATATATATTTCTTATGCATTATTAACACAACTATATTTTAATAATATTTTATATAAAAATAAAGAAGATGTTGTGAACTTATGTACATATAGTTAGTTTATATTTACATCACGTACTATTTTAAAATATTTACAATAACGTATGTAAGTATAAACTACTTATTTCTCACATTTTTATTACAATGTTTACATATTAGGTTGATACAGATTTACTATTGGGTTAACGTGATTAGCTGGGAGAAGATAGAAAGTGACTACTATTTGACCATCTATAATAATAGGGCTTTGTTGGATTGGTGAAAATACAAAAGTCGATACTCCTATGTCCTGAAATGTAACGACATTTGCAGTTGCGTTCACGCCCCAACTGGTACCTGAAAAAATGACAGTGATAACGAAAGTGAAAGGACTTGGTACAGTTGGTAAATCCATCTATTTTCTATTATAATTAAATATTTTAAACAAGAAAAATAAGGAGTGAGAATAATTATCTAATAAATATCAATAACTAAACAATATGCATAAAATTATTTTTAACCAATACTAAATGAAATATTAATTCTTCTTGATATAATAAAAAATTGAATTATGTTTATAGTGACTAGTCATGATAAATGAGCATTATAATAACAAATAACTAAAGGTTATTTCATCTTAAATTTTTACTCATTTAAATCCCCAAGGTAAATCTCTAACTATAAATTAATTCAAATTTTCATTCGTATGGCCATAGGATAATATTTATCTTTATAAATGCATGAAAAAATAACAAAATGAGTTTAAGATATTTTAACAAACTATATTATAATTAATATTAATAATTAAACTAAATAAGTTGAGTATTTTTAATTATTTAAAATTTAATATAATATAATTTACGTAAATGGAATGTATTAAAGAATATTAATCAAGTAAATGAAAGTGATAAACATCATAAAATAATTAAAGACCATTGACTAGAAACACTTTATTAATTATTAAGAGTAAAAAATATTTCAGATTAAGTAAGTAAATAAGGTTAGGAACACCTCATTAAATAAATATACATAGATATAACATAAATAAACAAACATAATAGTATAGAAAATTTTAAAAGGATAAAGATCTCCTCCTCCTTACCTTAGTGTTAAAAAAACCAAGTAATTTTTTTTTTGTTCACTCCTTCTTTTCTCCAATTTTCCCGTAGATAAGTAGATAATTTTTATCTACCGCTGCAGGATTTGTGGTTTTTATGCATAACTAAACAAGTCATTGAATCATTCCATATTATATATATGTTATTATATAAATTATAATATATCTAATTTGTTTCGCATGTAATTATAATAATTAAGTTATTATTAAAAAAATATTATAAATATTTATAATATAATTGAATATTATACATTTTTTTAGTCTAATGAAAATATAAAATTTTATAAGGTTTCAAAAATAAAATATCAGTATTTATCTATTTATTTTATATATGGTAACTAAAAATTTTAAAAAATATTAAATATGGTAACTAAAAATTTAAAAAATTTATTTTAAAAATAAGATAATGATAAAGAAATTTATAATATTATATAAAAAATTTCAGAATATTACATAGATGAATAAAAAGAGAAAAGAGATAGACAAGAAAGAGAAAAGAGATAAGGAAGAAAGAGAAAGAGAAGCAAGAAAAGAGAGAGAGAGAAAGAGAGAGAAAAAAAAAGAATATGAGACAAAAAAAGAAGAGACAAATGAGAGATAAATAAAAATAAAATGAAATAATAAAAAAAAAAAAGCAAAAATAACAAGAGAGAAGAAAGAAAAAAATATGAGAGAAAAATAAGAATAACGAGAGAAAAAAATAATAATAGAAACAAAAGGGGAAAAATTACTATATTTCTTTAATATCATCGGCTTTGTCTGCGGCTTTTTTTTTTCCCTCGTGTGTTCTCTGCGGCTTTTTATTTTTATTTTTTATAATTATTGTATCAATGTTGCTTGGTTTGTTATTTGTTGTAAAAGGTACAATCTATATTACAAGGTTTAAGAGATCCCGAATATATTTGCTTTGAGTGAGGATGAGAGAGCCATCAGATTGTGTTTTTACTTCAATGCCTAGAAAGTAATCAAGATCACCAAG